GAGAGAGAGAGAGAGAGAGAGAGAGAGAGGGAGAATCTCACTATGTTACCCAGGCTGGAATACAGTGGCTATTCACAGGCATAATCATGATGCACTACAGCCTCAAACAACTCCTGGACTCAAGTGATCCTCCCCCACTTTAGCCTTAAAGTAGCTGAGACTATAGGCATGTGCCACCATGCCCAGCACTATTTGTTCTTAAAGCTTTTAAAGTTGCCAACCCTGGATGGGTAATAGGAGAGTTTTCCAACACCTCTTAAAAAATGTAGTTACTCTATATTAAGGTATTTGTAAAATTAAATACTGAGCTAATTTCGCAAAAATTAAGTATTCTTGGAATTTAGGCTTTCTCGGAATCTGTATTTACCTTAACATTAATAATGATCCCTCAAAATGATTAAAAAGTTGCTGAGGCCAGGCACAGTGGCTCATGCCTGTAATCCCAGCACTTGGGGAGGCCGAGGTGGGTCGATCACGAGGTCAAGAGATCGAGACCATCCTGGACAACATGGTGAAACCCCCTCTCTACTAAAAAGACAAAAAAAAATTAGCTGGGCATGGTGGCGTGCACCTGTAGTCCCAGCTACTCAGGAGGCTGAGGCAAGAGAACTGCTTGAACCCAGGAGGCGGAGGTTGCAGTGAGCCAAGATCGCACCACTGCACTCCAGCCTGGAGCCTGGCGACAGAGCGAGACCCTGTCTCAAAAAAATAAAAATAAAAAGTTGCTGAAACAATTGTTGATCTCTCTTCACTAGGAGAATTTAGCTTAATACCTTGATTGTGACCATCCCTTGCAAAACACTTTTAGACAAAACTATATCTATGATAATCCTGGAGCACAGATTCTGTGTGCTAGAAGTAATGCTATCTTAACAAGTACTGCACTACTGCAATGCCAGAAGCAGTATGCCTCCTCCCTCATTGCACTCAGCTTATTCCAAAGCAGGTAATCGTAGATACTTCCTTCAATTTTGTGGTGGTATGTGTGGGTGTGGGTACGGGTGTGCGTGTGTGAACAATTCCTAAGTTTACCATTACGGCATTATGGTTTACATCAGAAAATACCTCACTACTTTACCACCAGGAAAAGAGAAAGAGACAGAGAGAGAGAGAAAAAGAGAGAGACACACACACACACAGAAAGAAAGATTTATTCCTCACACTTATTCCTTGAAACTCTTCAAGCCTCCAGGGGAAAGTCTGGTTTGAGACTTAGTAATGATTCACATCTCATTTTACATAAACCAATTCACATAACCCTCAGAGAGAAAAGCACAGACTTTCAGAAAGGAAAAAGTATTCAGAACAATATTTTCCTGAAGAAGTGAACTTCCCAATGGGAAACACAATGACTCCACTTTCAACCTTCTGTAGATATTTGATATATTTGGAATTTTTTAAAAATGCCTTAGAAACAGAAATGAATTTTTTACTAGAATGGCTGTTTATTTTTTCAGAGAAACGTGGCCACAAATAGCATGTCACCAAGGAATGAGAGGTTTTCTTAATAGGAGTAAGATTCAAATGAGCTAATTGAAAGAAACAAATTTTCTTCAGTGTTCTGAAATGTTCCAGACTAAATATAATGGGCTTTTAAAATACTGGTTTTTTAAATTGTCAAACAAAAAAGTTATTTTTATTTAAGAAACAGTAATTTGATAGTTAAATTAACTGTAAAAACAAAATTTTAATTATTGCTAAATAGAAGAAAAACTAGATATAACACATGCATTGATCAAGATTTACAGATGTAGATATAGATATAAAATCTACTTACCTAATTTGATCAAAAAATGCTGGAAAAATAAATTAATTAGGGAATACGTTTATAATTAATATACTTGATTTAGCAGACCCTATAAAATTTCATATAAATGTGAATACATACAAAAAAACCCTGTGTTTTGATTGTCTACCTAGCACTTTTCTTTCTGCTGGGATTTTGGGTCTGTCTACAAAAGTCTACCTCCATCACCACCCTCTACTCTCAACTTGGATATATTTATTTTTTTGGGACTTTGGATCTATTTAATCAGATCTACTATCAGATGACTCATATTATGGTAATTTTTCTTTAGAGGTAGGAAAAGAACAAAATGGAAGAAAGCCAAAAGAGCTTCTTCTGTACCCCTCAAATCTGATGTAACTTCTTGAATAATATGTGAGTTATAATATGACCAGCTTTGGCTTCTCATTCTCTCATTCTCCCTTAAATATTTAAAATAAATATATAAATCAAGGTCCGATACATATTTATTTCCAGTGTGTATATTTACCACTACTAGCCAAGACTACATTCTAGTCTATATATTAATCCATATTTAGGTTTCAACATACCAAAACCCTCAAGAAAATGAAAGCAACCTATTTAATTTGGCACTAGGCCAGTGGTACCCCCTCTACAGAAAGGAAACCTGAATATATAACTGTATCCCCTACTCCTACCTGCACCTGGCATAGCTGAATAGATGTGAAATGCCTCTATAAGACCACAGTATTTCAATTTTCAACACTAGCAACACGAAGTATTTTTAAAAGGCGAAAGGAGGTTAAAAAAAATAGCTAAAATACCAATGTTTTTACCAAAGAACCCCAGTTCTCATCTACCTGCTTTTTAAATCTAAATTCCAAGGAAATAGGGTCACCAAAATCTATGAATTCAAAAAGAAAAATTAAATGATTAAAAAGTTCTTTCTGGCTCTCTCTAATCCTCACAGAAATATAAAAGGAAATCACTTTAAATGACTTTTTTAAAGTAATATAACAGTAAGATATAGAATACTGAATACCTCTGGCAACAAAGGAGAGTCATTCATGAAATCCAAAGACTTAGAAATCCTCACATTATCCAGTAATCCAGTAATTTTCATCCCACTTTCTCATCAAAACATTTCATAAAGCAGTTATCTAAAGACTGAAACGATTCATTCGTTTCTCCCCTGGTAGAAGTCCTAACTGAGTAGCCCAAAGTTAAGCAGCAGAACAGAGAAAGGAAAAGTTGTGGTAGATTTCCCTAGATTTGGCCCAGGGGTTTTACTGATGCTTCAAACAGAAAACATCCTCGTCCCTCTCTTTTCCTCTTCCAGGCTGCTGAAGTTTATACACACCAACACAGTAATCACCAACAGAAAGATTAATGACCTAAAAAGTATAACAACACAGCCAATTGAAAGTGGCATGAGAACAGGGAGATTCACATCATTTTATATAGTCCACACATTATGCATACCTTTTCAAGTAAGCATAACCCAGCCTAGAAATACACTGCTGCCTTAGAATGTTCCTTAAAGTTTCTTCTTGTCCTAAGATTCTAAAAGAAAAGCTTTTATATGTCAAACCCCCACAGGAAAATACTTTTGGCTTGGGAATCCAAGCTAGATTCTCTTCTTTCAGGTTTATGTATTAGGATTTTGAGTGGAAGTGAGGCTTTCCCAGACCATGCATTCTTTCTCCCATATTACCCCCTCTGCCTTTTCCTCTTGGCTTTAGCCCACGCTATTCTTCCTGTAACTCTCAGCGGAAATGCCACTTCCCATAGCCACTATTCCCTAGCTCTTGGGCCTAAGTTTGAGTCCCATAGAACCCCAGACTTCCTCTATGCCAGTAAAACATGGTATATAATCTTATTTATGGAAATTCCAAGAGCTATTTCCTTAAAGTGAACACATTCCAAATGTGGGCATCATAACACCCCCAAGATGCTGCATGTGATAAAAGGGTTACTGGGCATGCTCATCAGCAGCCTGGAAGAGGAACAAGAGTGTTTTCGGTTTGACACATCAGTGAAATCCCTTGGCCAATCTAGGGAAACCTACCACAAAGATCTACATTACTCTGGTGTTTCTGGAGGTACACAGGGGATGGTTTTCTTACTTTGTTTTATTGTTTGGGATGTTGACAGGAAAAAGCAAGAATCAAGGCCTTGGATTCTTGGATAAAATCAAAGACTTGAATTATATTTTTCTAAGATTTTACACCTAACTGTGAAAGAAAGTTCAACTTCATATTAAAATAATTCCTTAAAAACTGAGAAGAGTAGATTTTCCCCATGACAGTTAGACTGTTGGACCAAAGGTTAAAGGAGTGTACATTGACAAGGCATGATTCGTAGCATAAAGAAGAACTATTCTGGGTCCAAACTGAGAATCAAACACACATAGTACTAGTATTATGTGACTTCACTACATTTAGGAAACCTAAGAAACTCATTAATGCAAAATAAAATTTGATATTAAACTCACCTCTTTAAACTACTAAATTGAAAGAAGTAGATGAGAGTGGAGTCAAATGGTCTCAAAACTATTCCTGCCCCACCTGCCCAGGCATAGTAGGCTAGCGATTTGGCTAATGCTATGGACCTGCAGTAAAACAAGCTTGGCAACCATTGGCAAATCTGCTTTAGGGAACATCAATGAAGCATAGAGTTAAGGGCTTGGGCTTTTGACTCACACTACCTGGATTTAAATACAGGCTCATACAGTTACTATGGGAAACTGCGTAAATTATATACTCTGTTTATGCTTCAATTTCCTCATCTGTAAATGAGGGTAACAGTTTACTCCAAATACTTTTTGTGGAGATTATACAAATATTTAATATGTAAAACAATGGCAGACATTTAGTAAGCCTTCAATAAATTCTACTTACTATCCCTATGATTACTAGTACTAATAGATACCATCAGAGAAACTGGCAGGCAGTATTGCACCAAGGATAGGGAAAAGGATTCTGAATCAAGTTAAAGTATGTTAGCAAAATAGTTCAGAAAAGAGGAACCCTAGAAGCAAGGAAGCACCACTTTATGGGTATCTTTAGAGTCTGGTGTTGGAGATTACCTATGGACTCAGAGACACAGCACTGATTTCACTAACAGATTTTCTCATTGCTCTCCATGGTACAGAGTAGCTGGGATTCATATACAGCATAAAGCCAATAGATCAACCAACAGAAAAAACATTTCCATTATGAGTTCAGATTGGGAGAACTTTTACAGACAGCCATCAACCAAGGGGCTGCAGAGCTCAAATGTTTCACTTAAGTCTCTGTAGAAATAATAGCCCAAATTAATCTCAGATTTCATCACACCCCAGGGTGTCTTATTAAGTCTCCCTATTGGCGAATGGCAGCTAAGAAAAAAACATGGAAGAAAGACTGAGTTTCCAGATGATATGAATGATTCTGTATCACATGGCTAAAATATTTAAATGGAAGACATTCTGAGATCATTTCGGAATGGAACAGTCTGTTTAGGTTTTACAGAAGAGGTAGGTATAGTATGGGGCTTTACATAAGATTCAAATAATACAGAGGGTACCAGAAGGTTGGGTTGTAGAAAGCCATCCAATCAGATATTTAATGACATCAACAGTTCTAAAGAAGAAAGTGACAATTTTTTTAAGAAATCTGAAAAACAATGAGTTTGTTTTTCTGGAACAGAATTCAAGTAGGAAAGTAATGAGAAGGAAGACTGGGGAATAAGAAAACAGCATACTAGATAGCCTTGTATCTGCAGATAAGAAGTTTAGACTTAAATGATAAAGGAGGAAAATCACTACAGATTTTAGGAAATAATTCCAACAGTAAGATGGTACGACAAGAAACAAAAAACTGGAAGCAAAAATGCCTAGAAATCTATTCATTTCACTTAGCTGTCTTACCAAAAAAGGTTCCTTTTGTCTAAAATCCTGTCATACTTTATCTGTAGCTCTTTTATAATGATGATTAGTCCATTCTCATGCTGATAAAAAAGACATACCTGAGACTGGGTAATTTACAAAGAAAAAAGGTTTAATTGACTCATAGTTCAGCATGGCTGGGGAAGCCTCAAGAAACTTAGAATCCTTTGGGAGGCTGAGGTTGGCGGATCATGAGGTCAGGAGATTGAGACCATCCTGGCCAACATGGTGAAACCCTATCTCTATTAAAATACAAAAATTAGCTGAGCATGGTGGTGCATGCCTGTAGTCCCAGCTACTCAGGAGGCTGAGGCAAGAAAATCACCTGAACCCAGGAGGTGGAGGTTACAGTGAGCCAAGATCATGCCACTGCACTCCAGCCTCGCAACAGAGTGAGACTCCATCTGAACCAAAAAGAGAGAGAGAGAGAAGGAGGAGGGAAGGAAGGAAGGAAGGAAGGGAGGAAGGGAAGAAGGGAGGGAGGGAGGGAGGGAGGGAGGGAGGGAAGGAACAAACAACTTACAATCATGGCAGAAGGGGAAACCAGCACGTCCTTCTTCACATGGTGGCAGCAAGGAGAAGTGCCAAGTAAAAGGGAGAAAAGCCCCTTATAAAACCATCAGATCTCATGAGAATTCACTCACTATCAACAGAACAGCAGCATGGGGATAACCACCCCCATGATTTGATTACCTCCCACTGGGTCCCTCCCACAACATGTGGGGATTATGGGAACTACAATTCAAGATGAGATTTGGGTGAGGACACAGCCAAACCATATCAAATGGTTCATTTGTATATATCATACTTCATCTGCTGGAGACATCAGAGTTTATAGGTTAAGAGCATGAACTCTGGGGTCAAGGCTAACTGAGTTCAAATCCCAGTTCCACTAGGTCCTTAGCACCTATCTGTGCCTCAGTTTCCTTATCTATAAAATGGAGATAATATAAAATCTGATTCAAACTGATGTTATGAGGATTAAATCACTTAACACATGTAAAGTGATTAGAACAGTACATCTCACACAATAAGTGATATAGCTATTATTTTTGTCGGATTCAACATTGTATCTCCAAAATATTTGCACAAAAGTAAATACTTGATGATTATTGAAAGAATGAATGGAAACAAGCTAGTTTAGCCATGTGAGAATGTGACAGAAAAACTAATAGGATTTAGCAAATGACTGAATAAAGACAGTGAGAGAAAAGGAAGATGCAGATGCCCCTGTGATATCCAACTTGTATGACTGAGACAATAACAACAGGATTAAGGGAAGCCAAGAAAGGAAGCCATTTCTGAATAAAGGACATGGAATGTTTGGTTTTAGATATATTGAGGCTAAAATGACAATGAGTCATAGCAGCTTTAGCAGCCCTGGGATTCTGGGGAGGAGGTGAAGCATAGCCATAATTTTAGAAGTCTGTTACATAATGGTGACTGCAGAAGAACTTCAAGGATATTGGTTTGTATTTTCTTTAATTGGACTACCTTCTCTCCACTGAATTCAAATTAATTAGGTGGTATTGTGTTCATATTCATCATCTTATCTAAATCAGCTTAACTGATACAAATTATAGTTGAGTACTAAAAATTACATGCAGTAAGAAAATCCATATTTTAAAAGATCATTCAAGCATTTTATTGGACTACCTCTGTAACTCAATAGTAAAATATTAAAACTGATTACAATAAAAGATGACTTAGAACTTACCCTGAATCACAGAAACAGTTCCACAGCCCTTGGCCATGACTCCACAGTAAGCGATTAAAAACTCGGTTGAAAATCCGATATAAATTTACTTCTTCAACATCAGGAACCTTCCAGATGCGTGGAAGAACTGTACGAATGCTTGTTTTTACTATGTCCAAAACCTAGTGAAAAATCCAAAGTACTTAAAATCCAGGAATGTATATCTGTGTCTAAAATTCAAAGATGTAGCTTGAGCCCAGAAGTTCTAGACCAGCCTGGGCAATACAGTGAGACCCAGTCCCTACTAAACTTTTTTAAAAATTAGCCTAGTACTTTGGCCCACACCTGTAGTCCCAGCTACCTGAGGGGTAAGATGGGAGGAATGCTTGAGCACAAGTGGTCAAGGCTGCAGTAAGCCATGATTAAAAATAAATAAACAAATAATCCAAAGAGAAACACACACACACACACACACACACACACACACACACACACACACAGAGTGAACAATGTCATAGAACAAAAAGTCTAGAAATAGACCCAGGCATTTATGAAACTTCAGTGTATGACACACGTGACAACTCAGATCAGTGGAATAAGAAGAGACTATTCAGTAAATAGAGATTTCAAAATTATAATCTTTATGGATTAGGTGAAGAATAGATGAAGCAGAATCCCTCATTAAATTAAAAAGAATCAACTCTAGAGGGGTTAAGGTCTTACATGTTAATAAAAAAAAACTCTATATCTTATTGGATAGTATAGGTATCTTTTGGACCATGGGTTAGAAAAAGACTACCTAAGTCACAAAAAGGTAGGGACCATAAAAGATTAATAGATTTTGATTACATAAAATTCATAACTTTTGGTTATTAAATATACCTTAAAGAAAATAAAAGACAAACTTACAAACTGTAAAAATATATTCAAAACATATATATCCAACAAAAGATTAGTATCAGGAATATATAAAGAATATCTACCAAATTTTTAATATAAATAACTGAATAGAAAAAAATGGACAAAACATTACAAACAGTCATTTCAGAAAAGAGGAAATAAATATGCCCAATGAACATAAAGAACCAAACTTACAGCTATAATAAGATATCCATTTAGTTGACAAAAATTCAAAGTCTGATGATATCAAGTGCTAGAGAGGATATGAAATCTACAGGGTTTCTTAGACATCGCTGGTGTGAGTACACATCAATGCACAAACTGGAAAACAGTTTGGCATTGTCTCCTAAAGTTGAAAATTAATATCCCTATGGCCCAGCAATTTTATTCCTGAAATAATCTCTCATAGGTAAAAATAGGAGGTGGTATGTACAAGAATGTTCATATCAGCTGTTAACAATTACAAACACCTAAAAACAACCAAACTCTTCAACAATAGGAGAGTGGGTAAATAGACAGTGGATACGCACCCCCTCTGGACTATTATGCAGTATGAATACAGCAGTCAAAACGAATCAAATATGACACACAAGACAGAGCATCTTCATAATGGTAAGTTAAAAAAAAGTGCTGGAGACTATACATAGCATGATACCACCCCCTTTTTTTGAGGCAAGATCTCGCTCTGTCATGCAGGCTGGAGTGCAGGGGCATGATCTCAGCTCACTACAGCCTCAACCTCTTGGGGTCAAACAGTCCTCCCACCTCAGCCTCCTGAGGAGGTAGAACTACAGGCACACACCACGATGCCCAGCTAATTTAGGTATTTTTTTTTAAGAAACAAGGTTTCACCACATGGTCTTGAATGCCTGATCTCAAGCAATCCACCCACCATGGCCTCCCAAAGTGCTGGGATTACAGGTATGTGGCATCACCCCTGGTCATGATACTGTTTTAATAGAAGTAAAGTCAATTAAGTTTTAAGAATGAATGAAGAGAGAAGGAAGGAAGGAAGGAAGGGAGGAAGGGAGGGAGGGAGGGAGGGAGGGAGGGAAGGAAAGGAGGGAAGAAGGGAAGAGGAGAGGGAGGGGAGGGAAGGGAGGGAGGGACAGAGGGGGAAGAAAGAAGGAGAAGAAGAAGGAAGAAAGGAAGGAAGGACAGAAAGAAGGGAGGGAGGGAGGAAGGGAGGGAGGAAAGACCTACAAAATTTGTAAACCCCAAAAACTGTTTTGTCTAATTCACATGGACTTGATACTTACGCAATGCAGGTATTTCCAACAAAGCAACAAAACAACAAAACAAAACACCAAATACTAATACTCTGATTTCTATTTATCAAAGTGGATTTTTCACTTTTTGTTTATCTAGCTATAATTATAGCAACTGCCTATAAAAATGAAAGTGAAAGATGAAAAGGGAAAAAGACTTTCAAACATAAAGACTAAATAAAGGCATTTCTCTCAACAGACACAAACATGAAGAAATGGAAGCAGATCAAAGAATGATTTGTTTCTCTTTAAAACAGCAATATTTAAAGAAATGATATTAGTTATCTCTGATCAAGGCAAATTTAGAATAAACATTTGTTTAAAAATAAATTTAGTAAAAAGTTTTCAAAGTGGTGTTTATAGCAGACTATGAACTACAGCTTCTCACGGGGAACTGTGTGAGCAGCAGCATTCCTCAGCTTCCTTTTCCAGCTTCCTGCACTGTGTGTGGGGGGGCAGTAATACAAATCCTACAGGAGGTCAGAGTGTGTCAGGGGAAGGGGCAGGGGATGAGGAGGGAAAATGCAATCTGTAGTAAAGTAGTTTGTTTAAAACCTCATGGAATGGCTCATTATTACAGGTAACAAGTGCTTCATTATAAACAGGACTATTTTAAAACTTTTCACAATAATGCTGAAACATGAGTATCAAGGTATTAATATGAGTATCAAAGCCTTTTAGTTTTTACAATTTTAATTTAACCTGTTCGTTTAACTCTTTATGTTTTTTAGTGTAGAAAGCAGTGCTCATGACTAATGTGATAGAATAATCAACACTAGCTATAAATGATAAATTTAAATCATTTTTCTTCTCAATTTTCCTTTCCACTTTCTATCAATATATTAATAAGTAATAATAGGCAAAAAGTCATAATGCAGAGAGAAAAAAATTAAAAAGTAGCCAAGATAACCCATATATTAGTATCAAAGATAAATATGAGTTAGATAAAATAACAAATTGAAAAGTGTTATTGATACTGGCAATTTTAACATTACCTTAAGTTCATCAGTTTTCACATTATATTATAAAATAATTATTCAACTTCAAAATGATAAAGGATTTGAGATCATGGAGTATTCATTCATTTCTTTTTAAATACCCTTCAAGGGCTACTAACAGGTATCAGCTGCCTGCTCTATGCCAAACACTGTGCTAGGTTACTTGCACAAGGTCTATCACTGTACTTGGATTACTTAGAGGAGATTTTTTTGGCCACTACTCTGTATATATTTTCTTCTTAATTTAGAAGAGATTTTAAAAGCATGTCAGTACCATATTCTAGCCCGTACATGACTAAAAGCAGCAACTTCAGAATGGGGCCAGGGAGTTAGGGATGGGGAATGCTTCTGCTCCATTCCTAATGTTTTCTTCAATATGGAGATGGAAAAATCTGCAGCATCATGGCACTCCATCAGGCACCCCTGCTTAAGAAGCAATTTCCAAGATTTGTGAGACTGGCATGGTCTGGGCAACCTAGGCACATTCTCCTTCCTGTCCAGAGCAAACCACTGGGAACATGCATTCCTGTTTGTTTCTCTTTGCCTTCAGTTTTCAAGGAGCCTCCCCAAGATGACAAGTTTTGGTCCTGGGAGGCCCACTCCTGTAATTTGGAGGACTTGGAGCAACACAAAGGAAACAGGAACCCAAATTCTTCAGCTCTCCTGTAAGCCTTCACATAAGCTCTTTCCTCTGCCTGGTACAATCTTCTCCTATCTCTTCATCTGATAAACTTCTGTGTTTCACTTCAAACGCCACTTCTTAGGGAGACCTTAAGTTTGATACCTTAATGATGAGTTCTTCCTTTATTAGCAGTCATCTTATTTTATTTTAATTTCCTGTTTAATTAATGGAGATTGTTATATACATAAAGGGAGGTAATTGTGCCCATCTTGCTCATAAAGTTACCATGTCCCCAAGGCTTAAGACAAGGTCTATCATTTAATAGGTTCCTGTCTTAGTGAGTCATTCCTTGCAAGAAATTAACACCTATATAGACAAGGTAAAAATCATTAAGAGAACTTACCATGTGCCAAGCACTTGTTCTAAGCACTTTTACATATATTAACTCATTTAATTCTCAAAACAAAAACATGAGTTAGAAACCATTGGTCCACAGTCCCTTTCCAAAACTCTCGAGGCTAGATTCCATAATCATACATATTATTATTTCTGCAGGAATAAAATGTAAATATTCAAACCAAGAGATAGACAAAATCAATACATAACTTCTGGTCAGGTCATTGTCACCAAATGAATTCAGGTGGGTTAGGTTTTGCTGCCTAGGGGTATGAAAATGTTCTTGGTTGTGAAAACATTTTCGATCCCTATTTTATGGACAAGAAAACTCAGGCTCAAAGCAGATAAGTAACTTGCCCAAGATTACCCAGTTCACTGAATCCAGACCTACCCTCTTAACCACATCCAGCACTGCCTCACAATTTGTTTCTTCCAGATGCCAGCCGCAAAAGCCTAGAAGAGAATCCCATTATCTCTTCTTAGATTCAGATTCATCTCTAGTCAAACAGTATTTGGGAAGAGGGTGGGATCACTGTGTACAAACAAGACTGCCTAGGCACCCCCTCCTTTATTGCCATGGAGTATGGAATAGTTTGCTTAGAAGGCTATACAGATGGGGAGACAATTACTGCACTTTTAGCAAAACACCAAATAATTTTAAGAAAGCACAGAGCAGGCAGGCAAGAAATCAGACTGGAATGAGATAAATTAGTGCCAGTTGTACTTGCGATGCTTTTTCTTTTTTGGATTTCTGCTGCTTTGGGGATTGAAGAAATTGGGTAGAAGATGAATAATTTGTGAAACTCAAAAATAAATGGTCAGCAAGGTGCTCTTGTGTTTATCTGTGGGCTCAAGTGAGGCTAACTTATAGAATATAGGTATCCGTTTCCTTATATTATGACTTTTAAAAGCATCCCAATCCAACATTAAGCTCTCCAAGGAAAAAAATAAATGGGAGATTCAGTCAATGACAACATTAATAAAATGAAAAGATTTGT